TATAGCCTTCCTGATGGTTGTGAGGTGACACCATTGTGATTTTAATTCGTATTTCTCTAATGATTAGTATGTTGAACATCTTTTATAGTCTTGTTGGCCATTTGAATATCTTCTTTGGAAAATGTCTATTCAAGTACTTTGCCCATTTTTTAATCAGGTTATTTTGTTGTTTAGTTGTAGGAGTTCTTGATATATTCTAGATGTTTATTCCCTATCAGATATTTGAAGATTCACAAATATTTTCTCCTATTTCATAGGCTGCCTTTTCACTCTGTTGATTGTTTTCTTTGATATATATGAGATTTCTTTGATAAGACACCAAAAACACAGGCAACAAAAGCAAAAACAGACAAATGGAACTACAGATGACACTTTCCTTAACATCTGTTCAGTCAACTTATGCACACCATTTTATTAGTGTCTGTCTGTTTGTCTGTCTGTCTCTCTTTCACACACACACACATACAGACATGTACACTTTCTGGCATTGTTACCATGGTTATGACATCCTCTAACCTCTAAATAGCTAGCTGATTTATGGTTCTCTTTCTTCACTGCTGTCATCTGAGAAATTAGAGTTCTCTGGAGCCAGCTTTGGAGGCCATTCCTAAAGAGTTGCCTGGTTCTGGTTATCTTTGCCTAATCTCTTGTGCCCATCCACGCATCTAGAATCATTTTCTCTCATTCAGTGGCATAAAACTACTTACAATTGTCTGAAATGCAGCAACAAGTACATGTCTTCTCACTTTGAGTATAAAACACTTTCCTGTTTTACTGGTGCTAAGAGAAACCTCCATTTAATATTGAAAACTATGATGTAGTCAAAAAAACAGCAAAGTGAATTTTTGGTTCTTTGAAAACTTTTTCTTTAGAGCATTGGCTGCAGCAGATGCGCTAAACAAATGCTAACAAAAACAAGGTTTTTAAAAACTGTTCTAAAATGAATAATTTCTCTTATGATGTTTATTTAAATTTATTAAATATACCAAAATATGTTACTTCAGTGACAAATGTCATATTCCAGTTGCTGAATCATGATATTTAGCCCTTTATTATCAATGTAGTAGTAATATATAAAGTGATTTACCAAGATTTTCTCAGGACGTACCCTCTTGCCCACTTACCCACAAACTGAGTCCTTTGATCCCATCTCTTTTTATTATAACTCCCTTATCTAGGAACCTTCATTAATTCAATTCCATATGGGGCAAAGAGTACAAACAGAAGTTTATATAGAGTATGACTAAATATTTAAAATTATAAATCAAGGTAGCAAACTATTACATAAAATGTGTATATCTGATCCTAATTATTTGCAAATTCTGTATTCACTAACTTGCCCACTTGTCTAAAATTCATCTGTAACCTGAGATCAATGCTTGCTGCACTTCTGCAGTCATTGGTGGGCACACACGAAGAGGCAAAAAATTTGAGTTGTCTTGGCATGCATGTTCCTAGCTGAGGTTGAACAACGTCACACTCTGCCCTCTAGTTTGAGCTCTCATACTGTAAACAAGTGTCCCTTTCACGGTCTATTTAGTGCCACATTTTTCACATTTTTGTGCTTTTTGTTGGTAGTTTCACTATTTAAAATGGCTCCCAAGTATAATGCTGAAGTGTTGTCTAGTGTTTCTAAGTGCAAGAGGCTGTAATGTGCCCTAAATATGTGTCTTAGATAAGCTTCTTTCAGGCATGAGTTATAGTGCTGTTGGCCATAAGTTCAATGTTAATGAATCAACAATGTATATTAAATAAGGTGTCTTTAAAAAAAAATACATAAAATAAGGTTATGTTTTGATTGGCTGACAAAAATGTTGTGACCAGAGCATCATAGGAACCTATCCATCTATTGCTCTTAGGGCAATAGTTAAGTATTAGCTAATTCAGTGTTCTAGGGGATTTTCTAGAACACAATTACCACAAATGAAGAAAATTGACCATACTAGCCTCTTATCTTAACAAATATACATTTATAATGACAAAATAAAAGATATACAAAGCTATAGTTTTTGGAAGACTAAAAATCATTTTCTAAAATATTTTAAATATCAAAGAAAATGAAATTCATATAATCATGGAAGTCTTGGTGTCTACAGATGGGTTGATAATGTTTGGGTGAGCAATAAAGACATACATAATTCATGCATTATTATATATGAATTCTATGTATTTTCTTTTTATGCCTGCATTTCAGCAAAGACACTAATAATGTTGTTACAATAAAGATATTCATATAATTTGTTCTATAGTTAGGAATAAACCAAAGGATTAAAACTAATTCTGTGCAATATGTGCAAATAGTAATATATTTTTACCTAAAAGCAAATTGAAATAAATGTTTAAATTAAAAAATTAAAACTTTTTATATATTTTAAGTTATCTGTCTTATAAAGTATTTAAAATTATGTCAAAATTAAAAGAAAATTAGAAGTTATGATTTGAGAAACAAAAATGTATAATAAAATTATTTAAACAGAAATTATAATTAATTGACATCAAATTTTTAAATAACAATTATTTAAATAAAATCGCCCTTTTAAGTTTATTAAATATATTTATAAAACTATTTATAATTCTATCAATATTTATCTAGTTGCTAACATAAAAATTGATAGTGCCTAGGTTACATCTAGCCATATATATAAATTTTAAATAATGCGAATTATTTAACAGCAAAATGCCTCTTGGTCACTATGTGCAACTGTTGAAAAGACTTTGCTAATTCCTGAGTACCTCTAAAACCACAAATTGGAGCAGAAGAGAAGAAAGAAAATGGATTCTGAGCAACCCTGGAAAACAATGTTTTTGTCGTACAAAAATAGAAGAATTTGACAAGTTCATTAATTTATATTTTCTCTCTCCTCAAATGATTCTACCATTAAACTCTCCCTACACTTTGAAGCGGTGTTTGTCTGTGTTGACAACAGTGACACAACCTAAACATTTCCATGGCATTTCAATTCACTCATCTACTGTTTCAAGGACATAGGACAAGGCTGTTGAGAAGTGTTTTCCTGAGGCATGAACAGTGTCAGTCATAAAAAGGGATATTTAGGATAACGAGTTAAGCTGCAGCAGATATGAGCACTGAATCTGACTGAATCCTGTTTCAAAAAGTGGACTGGTTAGTCCCAGTGAATGCTAAGAATGGCAGTATTAAGGAGGAAAATCCCTGCAACTGTTCCTGACCTAATTGGAGCATGGCACACATTTGGTCATTGGCTGGACACAGCTGAGTGGACATCTGATGGCTGTGGGCCTGGTGCAAGGCACTCACCTGGTTAGAGTACATTGTTTATCTGAATTAAACCGTTTCTCCTTGTCAAAACTGAGTTTCCTGTTTTCAGAGTAACAGGAGACACTTGCTGCATTGAGTACAGAATTTGGTAATATCATGAAATGTTTAATGTTATTTAAATGATTCTTGGAGGGCATTTAACCATGGATTGATTCCTGCTCCATTGACTGACCAAGATCTATTGCCTCTTCCAAACTTCTTCAAATTCAAAACAATACTTTTCTTTTTTGTAACTTTCTTACTCCTTTCATCTTGGACAACCAATTCCTCTTTGTTTTCCAAATTTATCATCATTCACTCTGTCTAGGGCTAATCATATTAACGACAATGAAAATGACAGCAATAAAGGCTAGCATTTATCAAATGTTAAGTGCCAGGTATAGTTCTAAGCATTTTAAATGTATGGACTAATTTTTCCTCACAGTAAGCTTATGCCATTTGTAGTTGTACCCCACAGGAAACTGAGGTACAGGGTACTTAAGTAACCTGCCCAATTGAGGTTATGCAGGTAGTATAACTCTAGACCAAGTTCTTACCTAATTCACTACATGATACTACAGGAGATGGAGAAATGGTGCTTTTTCATGTGCCATTAGCATGCTTGGCTTATTTTACAGGAAAAATAGATTTTCTTGCAGATTAGTTGAAAATGATATGTACAAGAAAAGGCATCATGTACATTGACTCACTGATTTTTCTTCAGAGATGTTGCTATTGTCGATGTAATTAATATCAGAACTGCCTAATATCTAGCACCCCTTGTTAAGAATTTTTTCCCAGAGGGCCTCATGCGCTCATATAGACAAGAGGGCAAGAATGGAAGAAGAGTTTCATGCAACTGCATACAATCATTTGTCAAAAATCTTCAAGGAATCTACAAACCTCAGGGATGTGTTTGCAATGCCTCCAAGTGTCACAGGGCAGGAAACAGTTAAATAATTTTCTCCCAAGGTCACCTTGAATTTCAGTGGAAGAGCCAGGCATGGAGCCCAGGCCTCTGGCTCTTCTTTCTGAGTTTCAGGAAGCAAATTGCACTCTGATGTTTAATGGGTGAGACATTTTCTTTGTATTTAAACATTCCCTTGCAATATTTGCAATCCAAACACCATAGCACAGAGTCAGTGCCTGAGACACTGGGAAGAAAATCTGACCTGAAGCCAAAGTGCCAGTCCCAGATGCAGGAAAAATAAAGTTAAAACTAGCCAGGTTGAATAAATGATAGTATAAAAAATAATCTTTAAGGTTTTCTCTACCTAATCACTGTTATTAATCACAATTAATAACATGATGATAGATGCCATCATTATAATAAGATTCTTGATCTTCTGTCGATAGTCCTCTTATTTCAAGCAATATTTGATGCAACTAAATTCTAGGACATTCTTTGAGAATTTGCTGCAATGGAATTTGGCCCGTACTTTAATGGGATACCATCGTATATCTTAAAGAGTTAAAGAAGTACAACAGAAAGAGGACCTTCTATTAATAGGAGGCAGAACTGCATGGTCTATTTTTCAGAAGATTGCTTAGTCTAGTGCAACACAAGAGAATTGTCACAAAGAATTGGTATTTTAGGCCAGGAGCTGCATCTGGTTCAGTTTCTATCTGACTATGTCCTAGACAGAAAAACAGACTGAAAAAAATTTACAAACCTTAAAAATCAGCTTAATTTGCCCTTGTTTGTATAGCTCCCCTATTTTACCTTGGGAGATGACACCGACAAACCGTTGTTCAGAAGCACTTCTTCTTAGTTCTCTCACTCAATACTGACTGGTCAAGTAGTTCTCTTTGCTTTCACAGAAAGGATCTATCTTACGCACCATGAAGACCATGAGAAGATATCTAGAGGTTCCAGAACTGCAGTTCCGGCAATGGAGTCTAGCTGTTGCTTCTTTTTGCTGATAGATAGATCATCTGCCAGGGTCCTGACTTCTTGTGTCCCAGGAGCTTTGCCTGGGTCCTTCATCACTGCCATACTGGCCTTTGGGTCCCAAGATATGTGTCCCTTAGTCTGTGAAAACTGCCTTTATCTTACCAATTCCTGATAGATTTACTCATCTGATTTAGAGTAAATGCATTTTGTATGTGTGAAGTTCCAGACTGGGCACTCCTGGTATATCCTGTCCAATCACTTAACACAGTAATATTAAGTAGTAAACATCCATATAAGGATGTAACTGAAAACTTAACGGTGAGCTCAGCAATCCATTTTCAATGCACACTGCTCATTCTGTCAGATTTGTCTGCCTGATAAGACAGTGCTCACCAATTTGTGCCCCACTGAATTGAAGTGATGCTTTAGACTATCCCTCCAGAATTCTTTTATAGTCAGTTTAGAGGTTGTTTCAGTGGCGTTTCTCAGATCATCCTAATTTGATTCTCTGTGTACTCTCTGTTTGATGCAGAGGTCAGTCTGTAAGTCTCCAGAAGAGCATAATGTGTTCCTCCCATGAGTTCTCTGCTAACAACACAGCCTGGACAATTTGTGGCTCAAAAGTAACAGAATTAGGTAACAGCTTTATGTTTTGCATTAGCCATGTGACTCTTACCTTGTATTAAACAAGATACCCAAATCGTTCCTTCTGGGAATCCACCCTGGTTTCTTTTTTTTTTTTTTTCCTCTCATTCTTATCCCTTTCTCCCTCATTTCTTTACTTTCTTTCTCTCTTCTTTCCTTTTTACAAATTGAATCGCAACTATGAGTCAAGCATTGAGAAAGCAGTCAGTTATAACAGCAGTCAGTGACTGCTATGCTAGGAGTAAGCACATGGCTGTATTTGAAAGCCCTTATCATACCCTTTAAGGTAGAAAAGAAGAATGTTCATTTTATAACAAAATAAAGTGTAACTACCTATTGAAATCATCATAAATAATGTATCATCTTAAATAATTTACATTCTGTTATGGCATCTATGAATTATGTTCACAGGCTGATTGAATTAAAAGTTGTTATATCACATGCCAATCTACTCTAGGTAACGACTAAGAGTATTACACTCTTGTACATACGTCTCTATATACATACATATCTATTATCTATATACAAATATAGGTGTGTTTAATATTTAGAAGGGAATCAAACTGTCTTAACACACATATAGAGATGATTATAAATAGGTAAATATATAATGTTCTTTTAAAGGTCACTACCATGGCCTCAATAATCATTTAAATAATTTGGTTGATAGTAATATGCTGTTTGTTAGATGGCTCATGACTCAGAGGACATCCAAAATGTACTTGTAGGTAACTAGATGTTCTGGATGACTTTTCAAGGTCTTTTATTTGTATATAGATACATTTTCTGTATGACGAAATTTGAATTTTAGTCTTCTGCATTTGGAATCAATATACTAAAAAAATTTTGTATACATACATAATTTATTTATATTTATGTTTATACATATATTTGTGTGTTTAGTGACTTTGTTTTATTGTTGCTATTGTTTATTTTGTTTTAAATAAGGTTCATTCATGAGGCATAGAGATGTATCCAAAATAAGTCATTGAGAGGCCTAAATGTAAATTCCAGCCAAAAAAAAATCTTTAAATTTTCTGAACTCATGTATTCATTTTCCTTCCATGTACTTCCCTTTGTTTTGGATGGTAAGTTGCATCTCTGCTAATAATAGCAAGTACCTTTTCCCCATGAATACATTATTTAAAAAATCTAAATATTCAGCCAACACTGGATATGTCCTTAAGACAATTTAAATATTTTTTTGATAATTTAGTAATTAATACTTCATATTTAATTTTATATTTTGCAGAATAAATACAAAGAATTATCTAAAAGTTTCTTCAAGGAGAAAATTTTAAAAGAATCTGGAGAGAAATGCAGTACTTTCCAAAAAGGTGCTTATGGAAAATATTTCTTTTTTTAACAATATTTTATTTTTATCAAGGTAATATATACACACTCAAATAGTAATATGTTTTATAATGAATAACACCAGTCTCTAATCCTAATCTTCCCGAACACTCCCAGAGATAAGATTTTCAACTTTTTCATTGCATCTCTATTACTTACATTCATATTTCTAAACAACATACTTTCTCTGAAGTTTCTCCATTTGTCAATTTTAGACATTATTTATTGATTTTCTATTACAATAGGTCAGATTTAGCTTATACATCATCAGCACCTTTCTTTCCTCTCTCCACATCTTCCCAAGAAAGATATAAGAAACTGTTTTGTTTAACCAATATTCATCTTTTATATCATTTTGATTATATAAACTGTTCATTTTTGAGCCAAGATTAGGTTTTTTACTCAGACAATTTTTGGGGGTTTTTTTCCTAAAGTTTGTAGGTATTGACTTATTTTTTTATTTTCTACTTTTTTGGACCCAGTTCTTCACCTGCACTCCAAGATTCGATTGTTTATTCATTCATTTATCCAACAAAAATATTTGGAATAACCGCTCTGTGCTGGTCACCATTATAGGTTCTGCAGATTCATCAGTGGACAAAACAAATAAAATTCCCTGCTCTTTGACAGCTTAAATTCTACTAGGGAAAAAATGGATACTTTAAACATAGTGACTAAGTGAGTATTATAACTTTTTAGAATATGGAATGTACCCTGGGGAAAAATTTAAGCAGGTTACAGAGATGAATGCAATCGGTTCCTTATTCAATAGCAGGAGTGGGGGAAGCAGAAGTGATGAAGGAGGTTCTGTAATTTAAATGGGTGGGCAGAGTAGGCCTCGTGGAGGTTATATTTGAACAATGAATTGAAGGAAATGAAAATATGAGACAGGTAAGTACAGGGTTTGTGGGAATGTTCCATGCAGAGGGAACAGCTGGGATGTTGAGGACCCTCAGGTAGGGGTATGCCTTGAGTGTTTAAGGACCTGTAAGAGGGCTGTGATTGTCAGGACAAAGTGAGAAAGGAGGAGTGTGATGGGAAAGGTCAGATTATATTCCATTTTGTAGGTCTTACAAGAACTTTAATTTTTGTGCTGATAGGCTGAAAGGTTTTATTTTAGCTTCAAACAAAAGTTTTTTCAACTGAAAGCAATGATATTCAGTGGATCCAGTGATAGATAATAATCAGTCTACATTACTGGTGTGTCCAAAAACCCCAAAATTCCAGTTTATGCCATATGTGAGGCAGTTAGCTCAGGGAGAAAGAAACAGATGACCTATTCAGCCATCCTGTTTTTTATTACTTAAGTAGGTGTCTCAGTTATCATCTTCCCTAGGTCTACAGTCCTCAATCGCTGCATCACATATATCATTTCTCTTTTATTTTTCTGGATGAGGCAGTCCCAGGTATATACACAGTTGTTTGCTCCTTAGCACAGAACCCAGACTTTACTCTTTTTAAAGAAAGCTGCATCTGTACCATCACAGTCAAATTATATTCCTTATGATGCAAAATAGATGAAATCTATTTCAGACTGTCCCCTAAAACAAAACAAAAGCTATATCTCTTGGTGAGGAATGAGGAAAACATTTCTCCATTTCCTTTTGCTTTAATTGTGCTACCAAATATATTAAATGCTGTTTGTCCAGGTTTCAGGGTCAGCGTTACATGAATAAAGTAGCACAGAGAGACCAACATGAAGGCATAGCAGCAAAGAATTAGCCTCCTAGCTTTTCACTGTGTTTGTTAATCCAACAAGGAATCTGTGGAGGTTATTGTCAGAAAAATGCCAAGACTGCATACAATGCCACCTTTATACCTGTCACTACAGTTAATCCCTGTACCTGTGACTGCACAGGATTTGTTGGTCATTTATTGCAGCTTTCAGAAGATCGATATAGGTTTGTTTTGCAACAGTAAGTATACAACAAGATGGAGGCAGAGCTGGTGGCAGTATCTCTGGAACAGAAATCAGCAGATCTGTGCCCCAGTCTTTGGACTGCTAAGAAATAGAATACGCCTTTCCCCCAAGAAAAGAGTATGGTTGACCACTCTTCCTCCAAGCTCACAAAAATATGGTTCTAATCATTTGTCCTGGATACTCTAAGTTTCTACCCATACAGAATAAGCTTTCAACTTTAAAATATCAAAACAGTTAGCTCTTAAATATTCTAGGCAATTCTCAGAAAGGACATATTTGGAAACTAGAGCAGAATGGTGATTAATATCCAAGAGATTGTCTCCATCCCTTCTCTGGGTAACATAGAAGTTAGACTAATGCAGGCAGGCTGGTTTTGGCCTCATTCCAAGGGGCTTATTCCTGCAAATCCTGGGAAAGGCCTTATTATAAAAAAGTTATGGTATAGCAGAGACCCCAGTACGAAGGGTGAATTCAGGGCTTCTTTTACAGAGCAAAAGAGTTAAGGGAAATTTGCAAATCCTAATATGTCTCAAAGAGGAGTGTACCCAGCAAAATATTTTGCAGTCCTTGCATTTCAGAAATAATGTGATTCTCAAAGGCAACTCATAATAGAATCCACTGAACAAGAGTTGCCCTGCTCCCCAGGGTTTAGCCTGATTGGGCAGAACAATTTAACTCAGGAACCCCACTTTGCGATTCAGCAAAAAAATGCAGACATGTGTCCTAAGAAATAAAGGAAGGACATGAGGAAATGCTCTGGTTCTCTTTTGTCTATCCTAAACGGCTTAGAGACTTGGTATTTTAGCAGTCTGATTTCATAAATAGCAGCCTAGGAAGATTTGCCCAACCATTCAAGAAGACTATTTACCTACCATGTTTCTCTCCAATTACAGTGGTTTCACATTAAATGTTTAATTGGATTACTAATTTTAAAACTCGCCACTTTAGAATCACCAAAGCTTTCATTTCCTTTCTAAGAGCCCTGAAAAATGTCATGATTACCTCTGAACTGAGGCAGCAGGCTGCGCCAGAGAATTTGAGAATGTTTTTCTTTGAAAACAGACAGCTCTGAAAGCAGAGCACCTGCAAATAGGTTAATGAGTCTTAAGAGTTGCTGGAGTTGTCAAGACCAACTGTCGAGAATTCCCGTTGAGTTAAGTAGGATGTGAATCTGTCTCTGAGTAAATATCATTACCCATGCTTTCTGACTTCCTGCCCTCAGGTTTGCAGCCTGTGT